ATAGGCCTTAGCACATGCAAAACCTTTTGTAGATGTCGTCCTGAACCTGACACGCTGATATTTAAGATCGTGTACGGTTATGGTGTTGCCAGTTGTTTCATTTGGAACCTATGTTTTTAAGATTTTTATCATACCGGCATCAAACTATTTTAAAATAAATAAATTTAATTTTACAAAAAATCCAGTGTCTCCTGGGAATTGTTTGTATTTCATTCGGGACTTGAAGTTTGTTTACCTGTAAGTAAATAAGTTCTAAAATAAATATATATATTTTTTTTTTATCAACTAATAATTTATTTGTTTTGACAGTAAGGAGTTACTTTCAATTTAACTGCTGCTTGAGTTCTATGATATATATCTCTTAGTTTGGTCTGTTCTTGGATACACACTATTCAACATCGTAGTTAGGTTCATCTTTTTTGCTGTGACGCTGTTTGCAGGTACAAATTAGCATATTCGTCGAATTATAGCGGTATTCTGGATCCATTAGTTGAGAACAATTATCAACTATTCATGGTAGAAAGACTTATAATGATGGGTTCCAAAACTTTTATTAGGACGTTTAAAGAAGACGATACAGGTCTCAGCCTCACTGATGATCCGAAAAAGAACACCAAGGCATGGCAGATACCCATTTATACCAAGGATGGAGAGGAATGTTGATCTTTATATTCTCTTAATACGGCCACTGCTTGTTTGCTATAGATAGGACTTGACAGTATCAATATACCTGATTTTGGCTTGGCTTGTTTTTCTTTTTTATTATTCTTATTACCGTCCAGTGCGATCTAATGCCCATCTCTCTTTGAGGGACGACTCCATCAAAAATGGAGATTCTCTGGTTTTTTTTGTCCTTTTTTTTTTTTTTTTATTCATGTGCAAGTGAGAGATGTTGGAACAATTCGATTTGTTGTATGTACATGTGGAATTTAATTCGGGAACTGTGTAACAGAAAAGTCCTTTTGAGTTTTCAATGAATTTGTTGCTAGTAGTGTAGAAAGATAATAGCAGAGTAAAGTTTTTTCAACCTGGATTGAGGCTTTCTTAGTGTAAAATATTTTTCCGGATAAAAGCATAAAGTGAACTTAAAGGTAAATTCTGCAAGCTTAGCCCAAAATTGTTACATTCACCAAGAACAATTTCCACTGATACAGCATAACTAGCAACCTTCTTGACATGATCACAGACCAACATACTGCCATAAAATAGAAGTGGAACATCGTCCGAAATAATTTACTTTTACAAGCGCAATACCGAAAGAAAACTTGCCAAAGTAGATTATAACGAGTACAAAAGTATCTAAAGAGAACATTTAAAGACCAAGTCCAACTGTTCGACCATCTCTCCGACGCAGTCCAGCAGTGTATTGCTTCTCCAAATCTAACTGAAGCTGCTCCTGCTGTTTCTCCGTATCTGGATTGTCTGGTTTGTGCTCGACTTTCACCTCGCCTTTCACGCCCTGCAATTGGCCATAGGTACAAAGGCAACCTCAGACTCTTAGTGTGTTAGTATGTGGGAAGAAATTTCTAATAACAATATACACTGTTTTCCACTCTGAGCATGTTTATGGCATGGTATTGGAAAGTACGTATATAATAGATGATAGCTGAACTTCATTTTCTTCTATCATCCTATTGAATACGTGTCAATCCAGCCTATCAAACATGCCAAAACATAATAACCAGTAAAAATACAAAAGGACTAGAATTTACCATGAGTTTGATGAATTTTTCTTGACGTTCACGATCGCCAAATGTTGCCGTATCCCAGTGATGGACAGACTATATTGAGCATTGAACATAACATGAGCAGAAGATGGTGAATGTTGTCAAGCATTCCATTTCGGAAAATAATAATCTAGAAGTAGCTTGTGATAAGGTCAATATGATGTTGGTCCTAGAGCATGTTAGGCTAAGCTTAAAAACAACTAGAAGTTACTTTCAAGTATTTTTTTCCCCCAGCATGTTTGGATAAATTATAAGGAAAATAGTTACTCATTTTCAAAGCATCTCCCAGACTACTGTCAAATTTTTTACTTATAAGTGAACTTTTTAAGCTAAGCCAACATCCTCCTAGTTTCTTAACAAGGTACATGAAGTTTCCATAACACTTCCAAGCAGATTTCGGTGTAATAAAAGTATTACCTTTGTCTACTATTTGTTCAAATCAAAAATTGGAAATGGGAGAGGACGAAAGAAGAAAATATGAATGCAAGTAACCATGAAGATAAATAGCAAGTACCTCTACAGAAGTTGTGTTCTTCTTATTGCCCCACAATAGCTTCTTCTTTTGATCAGCAGACATATATCCAGTTCCAATTAGATTCCTATTAACTGCAAGTTATTCCAAAGAAAGAATCATTGGAAAAGATTTAAAGTGCACTGCATTTTAAGTATATAGGTACTTGGGGTATTTTCTTGACTGATCTTCTTCTCTCCAAACTGAGCACATTCAGAAAATGCAAACACCTAGCGTAAATATAGACAGCACTATTAAAATAAACTCAAATGCTGTACATTTCTCGTGGAATAAGTTAAACGAGCAAACAACAATAAACACAGTGAGAGAATCAATAAATGTTTACCTGATTCAGCAGCTTTCATAGCAGCGATTTTTGCAGCATCAATATCAGAATCTGTCACGTAGGCCTGCTTTGCACTCACCGTTTCACAAGTATCTTGAGTTTGCTTTGAGGTTGAAGACTGCTTTTCATCATCTGAGATTGCAGATTTAGAAATTGATTTTATGGGATTACAAAACCATAGATTGCCAATGGATAGTATACAAAAGAATTCATGTATTTCAATTCCAAAAATGAAAACTGAGCTCCAACAATGCCATGAATGGAGCCAACTTTCATGTTTTCGACAGCAGTAATCATCTTGTAGCTACTAGACATATTGAAGCTTACCATCTTTTGCAAGACCCAAGCTATATGTCTTCGGTTTCTTAGCAAGGGACTTTTCAACTTTGCTGGAGAAAGTCTTCCTGTCTTCAGATTTTCCTGCTGGTTCCCTGTAGTGTCGTTCCTTGTATCTATCCTGATCCTCGTGTATCTTCTTCTCCTCTTTGTTGTACTTCTCACCATCTAGTTCTTCAGTGTCTCTCTTAGCAGCTTCTTTCAGATGAAGCCCAGAACAGTCCCTTCGAGAAGATGAGTTATTTCTTAGACCCCTGAGATCTTCATAAGCAGGTGAACGATCATTTCTGAGGTCTCGTGAACTCCTTTGATGGTCAATCTTCCCATCTCTATCCCTCTTATGCCGGTTCCTGTCTCTGTCCCTGTCAAATAAGTCTTCCTCTTTATCCCTGCATCTATGCCCTGAACCATCAGATTTATATCGAGAGTATTTATCCGTGTCACATGGATAGTCTCTAGGTCGGTTCTTGTGTCTTGAGTGACTGGAACTGTGATGATCTCCCAAGTCCTGGCCACGACGAGATGACAGCTTAGAATAATCTCTATCATAATCATCTACATTCTTGTCAGTGTCACGTCTGTTATATTCATCATGCTCGTTATAATGATGGGAGCTCTTTGACATATAACGATCGAAATCTTTATATGATACACCGCTGTGGCTATACTGACCCCTGCCAGAATCCCTACCTAAGTCCCTATCATCACCCTTTCTTTGTTTATCACCAGAAAGCTTTTCAATATCCTTCCTTGATGGGATTGGACTAGAGCTGTGCTCAGAGCGAGGACTTCCTGGAATATAATAAGAAGCTATGCTAGCAAAAGAAGCAAGATATGGACAAACAAGTAATAGCATTTGGAACTGCAATTGAATTTGACAATAACACGGGACAAATAAAGAATCATTTTTCTAATAATCAAATGCAACGTGCAATCCTTTTTACAACAGCATTTCCATGATCAAGAAGAAACTAACTCTAAATCTGCAAGAGACTCCACATTATATTTCATAATAACATAGCTTCTCACAATAAAATTTTTTAATCTTGCAAATCCATCTAATTATTTACAAACACGTGAACATAAAATCCACCCACCCACATGCATGTACCATTGATGGAGAAGGAAACATTATCAATGACCAGAGCCATCTACTAATGTCAGTCACCATCAACCGGCAATGAAAAAAATTCATAAAAACCAAATATTATTCAGACGTCTCCCCATGACCGATCTTAGATTATAAACAGACAAATTCAAAACTAACCATCATATGAAGACGACCCAGTAACAGGAGACCGATGCCGGTACTTCCTGCTAGTTGTATCATTCGAAGGCTTCCGAAATTCTGCCTTTCCATCAACGTTCTCTCGCTGAGAATTCATACTACCTAATTAACACACCTGTAAAGTAAAAAAAAAAATTATAAAAATTCACATTTCCCGTTAAAATTTAGAACTTCCAGATAAAAGAAAAGGTACATACATTTAAAATTATTAACACGTGATGAATGATCACAGAAAATCGACGAACCTAAATTAGCTTGTAATTGGAGAAGCGGCCCTTGTATGGATCGAGTTGGCTACTAGGGTTAGATTTCGTTTGTGCTTTGAAAATAAGCTGGAGAATAAGAAGAAAAAGCAAGAGAGAACAAGAAGACAGTGAAAGCAGGAGATATTTTGATGAGTGATGGATATTAACGAGAGGGACCCCAATATATAGAGTACTTTAATAGGAAGACGGTGCGACGGTCCTATGAAGGGAGGCCACCAATCGACACACTTCGAGGTGTGTGGGTCACCCGTTGAGATGGCTTTTCGACACTGGATGGTCGCACCGTCACTAGTGAAGTATTTCTCCAATATATGAGAATGTTTTAGATTGGAGTGATTAACCCTTAACATAAATTAGCACATTATTATAGGGCACAGAGGACCCATGACATTTGCTTCAAGTTGTAACATTTTCTATCATCTCATTTCGTTATTTCAATGAATTCTTGTGAAATTACACATATACCATTCTCTTTAAACAAAATAAAAAATAAAGAATTAATTGTAACTATAGTTCCAAATTTTTCAAAAACATGCAAACGAATAGAAATTAAATAATTAAAAAATTAAATGGACGAATAAATTAATTTCTATATTTTATTTTAAGAAATTAAATAAATATTTTTTCACTTTTATTTATAATATTATAGAAGTATAAATTTTAGAAAAAATTGCAGCTGCTATGCCAAACCTTTCAATTTTATGCATATTTGACACAAACCTTTACTGGATGGTACCAAACATTTCAAAAATTAGCATCTTAAGTCCAAATGGATGGAAACTGTTAGTTTGACTATTAGTTGACATCCAAAAAAAATAAAATAAAAAAATCTAACCTTTTTTTACCAGCTATGTGAGGGTAAAACTGTCTATTCCAATTTAACGTGAAATAATTGAATGAATCAAAAAAAGTGCTTTTGCCTTCTCGCCCTTTCCACCTGGCACCACCATCTTCCCAAAAAAATTTGGGGCCGCCATCTTCATGATCACGAGCTGCTAACAACATGGCCGTAAACTTATCGTTATTCTCCTACCCTCTATCTCAAACCCAACGGCGATACAAGCCATCACAACAAATTCAAACATTATAGAACATACACATAATTCACGAACTCAAAAATTTCAAGACCCAAAAAATGAATTAGATTCTGAAATTCATCTATGTTACGGATTTCAAATCTAATTTCACATGGTTGATTTTTTTTCTAGCAACAATCTTGAATAAACCCAAACAGTTGGAATGGCTGAAGCTATAGACCCAAATAGTCTGGAAGAAGATGAAAGAGTAGTGGTTGAGAAGATTGTTGTAAAAATTTCACCCGATTGGAGTAGAAGTCACGAAATATGAACCGGCAACGTCAAGAACAAGATAATCACGAACTTGTGTCAATGAATGACTTGAACACGATATCGTTGTTTTCAAACGATATTTACCCCTTCTCCTATTGATTTGAGATACTTCGAAGGTTGATGGCAAATGATTTATAGGATTTTAACAAGTCTTAACAAGAATTAATCACCAAAATACAAGTGAAAATCATTGAAAACTTGAATAACACAAGGGTTGAATATGAATGTAAATAGAGATTTTGTTTGTTCTTAGAACAAAGTATGGATTGTAAGATGTTTTCTAACATTTTTCCCTCAAACATGGCTCTCCTATATATAACGATCAACCAGAAGTACGAAATGGTGCCAAAAAATCAAGTAAAAAGTCACAAATTTCAAATTTGCAACGGCCAAAAAAAGATCAAAAAATCCTACCATACGACCACATGGTACAAACCCATACGGTATCATGGTTCACCCATGCCGAGACCACTTGGTCTCGACATATAGCCATGCGGTCGCATGGACTAAAATTTTTTTTCTAATTTATTGTTGTTGATTTTTAACAACATAATCACAGCAATCCCCCACTTATTCAAAATTAATAAGTCTCATATTCATAGTATACAATACTCATGCATAAGGACTATATATTTTTCGATTTGAATTTAACCATAGTGTAATTTAAACAAAGTTTAGTCGGAATCAAAGGTAACGTGTAGTTTTGAACCAGTTATTACATATGACAATATCGGTAAGGATACACACACGAGAACCACGTGTTCTCAAGTTCCTCGTAACTCGCGTAGCGCTTATCCTTTTCAACAATCTTTTAAGAGAAAAACTCCAACTCTCTATTAAGACGACACCACCTTGAAGATTGTTTAGGTGAAATTCTTCTAGTACCTTTGTTACTTTTAAATGTACTTATATTTTAGCACCGAACTTCATTAAGAGTTTAAAACTCATCCCTCATTGCAGTAACAACCAGCATTATTTTAATTAGGATAGGGTTATTGCTGAATTTAATAATACTGCAACTATCCACATATCAATGACTTGTTGTTATCATTTGAACCCGTAAATTACCTTTTGAGTAATGACAGGTAGGGTTGCTATCATTGGTGAACCTTTTTAGTTAAGGAGTTTCAACCACATCCTACTCGAAGTAGATGCTACTAAATCTCTGTTTAGAGGTTTAGTCAAAGGATTCGTCAAATTCTCAATTGACCTTACATAATTTAGGAAAATTATTCCATCTTTGATTAATTTCCTTATGTAATCATATTTTAAATTCATATGTCTAGACTTTTCATTATATGCCTTTGCTAACGTGGCTTGATTATCACACATGATAGGTATTGAAGAAATGTTCTTTGATCCCAAAGGTATCTCATAAAGGAAATCCTTAAGCCACTCAACCTCTTTCCCGGCATCCGATAAGGCTACAAATTCAGATTCCACGATCGAGTGTGTTATGCATGTTTGTTTCTTTGATTTTCAAGAAACAGCACCTCCTCCAAGAGTGAACGCCCAACCCAAAGTGGATTTATTCTCACATGTGCTAGATATCCAACTAACGTCGATAAATCCTTCCAATATCGCCCGAAATTTATTATATTACATGCTCAGGTTCTTGATTTTCTTTAAGTATCCAAGAACTCTTCCAATGGCCTTCCAATGATTATTACTCGGATTGCTAGTAAATCTACTAAGTTTACTTATGGCATAGGCTATGTCTGGTCTTGTGCATTAAACTACATATATAAGACTTCTTATAACACTAGCATATTCTAATTGAGCAATCGCCCTTCCATCATTCTTTACAAGTTTTGAACTTGGATCAATCGGGGTACTATATTCTTTTATGTTCAAGCGTTTAAACTTGTTTATCACATTCTCAATATAATATGATTGACTTAGGTGATAACCCCCACTAGTATTTGTGACTTTGATACCTAAAATGGTATCCACTTGACCAAGATCCTTCATTTTGAATGTGGAAGATAGAAACCTCTTTGTTTCTTCTATACCGCCTATGTGATTACTCATAATCAACATGTCGTCAACATATAAACATATAAATGTCACATAATCATCATACACTTTAGAAATAAACATCTATCTACGCCATTATGTTTAAATTCGAATGATGTTATAGTTAAGTCAAACTTCTCATACCATTTTTTAGATGCCTGCATCAAACCATATAAAGATTTTACTAATTTGCATACCTTATATTCATTTTCAGATAGAACGAACCATTCAGGTTGCTCCATATAGACCTCCTCATCGAGATCCCCATTTAAGAATGCCGTTTAGACATCCATTTGATGAACATGCAAGTCATATATTGAAGCCAATATGAATAATATCTTAATCGATGTTATTCTAGCTACTGGTGCATAAATGTCAAAATAGTCCATTCCATTCTTTTGTCGATATCCTTTAGGTACTAATATAGCCTTGAAAGTATTTAGAGAGCCAACAACATTATATTTCTTCCTAAATATTCATTTACATCCAATAAGTTTGGATTTTCGTGGTAGATCGACAAGTTCCCAAGTTTATTAGATATTATCGAATTCATTTCATCTTTAATTACATCTTTTCAAAAAATGTTATCACGAGAAGCCATAGCTTCTTTATAAGTTTTAGGATCGATTTCCACTTATAGAACAAAAAGAATTGTTCTTACAACATTCAACTCATTTCCTTCTACTAAGTAAAAGGAGATAAGTTGAGAATCAATTTCATTCGGTCCCAAAGATTTCTTAACTTGAGTTCTCTTGCTTCTTCGTGGTTCAATAGATTTATCAATATTTTTATAAGATATTTTATCACGTGTTCCACTTGAGCTAGGAATGTTTTCAAAATTTTCCTTCAATTCATTATCCGATGATAACAAATTTTCAAAGAACTGTACATCATTTGATTCGATAATCACATTGGTCACCAAGTTTACCAATCTATAAGATTTACTATTATTAGCATATCCAATAAAAGTACATTTAATGCCTCTTGATCCCAATTCGGTCTTATTAGGATTTGTGTTCTTGCAATAAGCAAGACACCCCCACACTTTGAAGTATCCAATGTTCATTTTTCTTCCTTTCCACAATTTATAAAGAGAAACATTTGTATATTTAGAAGGAATCCTATTAAGTATCATACATGCACTTAATAAAGTTTCGCTCCATAAATTAAATGCCAACTTAGCATATATAAGCACAGCATTAATCATTTCTACTAAAGTTCTATTCTTTCTTTCAGTCAAACGATTTTGTTCGGATGTCCTAGGTGCAGAACATTGGTAAATTATGTCATGTTGTTTATAATATAAATTAAATTCACTAAAAATGTATTCACCACCTCTATCACTTCTTAAGGTCTTTATTTTCTTGTTTAAGTGATTTTCAACTTCATTCTTATAAGTTTTAAACAAATGAAAGGCCTCATGTTTAGGTTTCATCAAATAAACATAGGTATATCTTGAGTAATCATCAATAAATGTTATGAAATATCTATTTTCACCTCTTGTTAATATGTCATTCAATTCACATATATCGAAATGAATTAATTCTAATATACGAGAAGTCTTTTTAATGCTTTGATAAGGCCTTTTAACAATTTTTGCTTCTACACATGTTTAACATTGAATGGCATTATTTCCATCATAAGAAATTAAGTCACAATTTCTCATGCATTTCATGATGCTTTTACCTATGTGACCTAATCTAGTATGTTATAAAGAAAATAAATAAATCATATAAGTAAAATCAACTTTATTTATTTCATTGATAATAGTACAAAGTTTGACAATTCCTTCACATGAATAGTCATTTTCAACAATTTTTTCGTTAAATCATAATACAAGTTTACCGGACCTAAAGACACTTTTAATGCCTGATTTTCCCAAAAAAATTTCACTCACTAAGTTCTTATTTAGATTCAGAACATATAGTACATTTGTAAGAGTAACATTTTTTTCAGAAATGAAGATAATTTCTAGACTTCCTTTTTCAATTACTTTGGACCACACCTCGTTACCCATTTGGAACTCTTAGTCTCCATCACTTCATTGAATGTTTTGAACAAAGATTTGTTATATGATACATGCACCGTCGCACAAGTATCATATCACCAACTGGAAACCTTTCCCTTAATTGCATTTATTTTACTCACGGTGACCGCAATCTCGTCTTCTTGGACCGATTTCACTTTAACCTCGGAGTTGTTGTGTTTCCGGTGTCTACAATCTTTTGCGTAGTGTCCACACAAACAAAGCATCATCCTTTGGTCTTCTTCTTGAATTTATTAAGGTTTCTCGAAGGTTTCCTTTTGTTGGATTTTGTTGGCAGTTCGAATTTTTCTACAGCATTTACTTTGGAAGTGGCCTCATGAAAATCATTTTTATCACGCATTCTTGACTCTTCCTCAATTTGAAGATGTTTTTGCAGTTGTTCCAAAGAATAATCTTCGAAACTATACATTATCTTCTTCCGGTATCCTTTTCAAGTTCCGGAAAGTTTGACAATTATAGTCCTTACTTGAAAGGTCTCCGGTATTTCAATTTTCACCGCCTTCAACTTATTGAAAATTACTTGCATTTCAATTTTCACCGCCTTCAACTTATTGACAATTACTTGCATTTCATATAAACGATCCGATAATGCGTTGAGAATGTGACCGCAACATATTAACTCATCTTCTCGGCGCTTTTGTCTTTCATTTCTCACCGCTTCGGTTTCTCCATTCTTTGGTTTCGGTAATGGTGCAAGATTCGAATCTAGGATGTAGAAGATTTCCAATGCAGTGAGAAGAAACTTCAATTTGTCTTTCCATTGAGTGTAGTTCGTTCTATCGAACTGATCTGATAGCACAAATTCTTGATTCGTGAGTTTGATTGTCGTCATCGTTGTCTCGCTTTCCATCGTAGAATATCATTTGAGATTGTTGTAAAAATTTCACTACGTTGGAGTAGAAATCACGAAATATGAACTGACAACACCAAGAACAAGATAATCACGAACTTGTATCAACGAATGACTTGGACACGATATCGTTTTCCTCAAACGATATTTGCCCCTTCTCCTATTGATTTGAGGTGTTTCGAAAGTTGATGGTAAATGGTTTGTAGGATTTTAACAAACCCTAACAAGAATTAATCACCAAAGTACAAGTGAAAATCCTTGAAAACTTGAAGAACACAAGGGTTGAATATGAATGAAAATAGGGATTTTGATTGTTTTTAGAACAAAGTATGGATTGCAAGATGTTTTCTAACATCTTTCTCTCAAACGTGGCTCGCCTCTATATAGCCATCGATCAAAAGTACGAAATGGTGCCAAAAAATCAAGTGAAAAGTCATTAATTTCAAATTTACAAAGGCCAAAAAAGGGTGGGCATGGATGAACCATGGACCGCATGGCTCGCATGGACCAATTTTTTTTTTTTTTTTTTTTTTTTTTTTTTTTTTATTGTTGTTGGTTTTGAATAATATAATCACAGCATGTTGACCTTAACGGGTTTGAATAGATGGGAGCTGTGAAAGTAAGTAGTGCGGTGGAGGAGAGAGAAAGACTTGTGGAGGGGATGCTGTGACAAGCTTAACCTAAGACATGAGTAATCAATGCAACTATAACAAACATCATGTAAACTGACATAATTCAAATTTGAAATTGATTTTCCGTCGCAACGTAAATTTGGAATAATGGAGAATCATCATTTTCTATTTTACAGTGCAAAAGGTTTGAAAAAATGGTTAAAGTCGGGACTAAATTAATTTAATAAATATAAATAGATTACTTTACTTTTGACAATTAACATTAAAGACGATACTATTAGCTAAGATTACACTCGAGCAAAGACCATATGCATATGTTAATAAATAATTTGAATAGACATCGGAGCGTTTGACATTTTTGGTCAATTACAAGTTACTTTTATCTTATTATCAAATTAAATTAATTATTATTTTAGAGCTTTACAAATTGAAAAATTAATTATTTTGAAATTTACTTATTCAATTATAAGTGAACAATTTAAGCTAGCAACCGAGGATTTTGTCACTAACTGCGTCATCAAATGGGAGATCCCCAAATTGGATCAAACTGTAGGGTTCCAAGAACTCTTATTAACACGTAAATGCGACATCCGCCCAAACACGCTTTATAGACTGAAGTAGCGACGTTATGATATCAGTTACCCTTGAAATCTTCCCTCCCTACAATATTTTCTTCTGGGCGCACCTTTCTCTCTGTTTTTCCGCTCCGTAGATCAAGAAAAAAAGCTTCTCACCCAACAAATCACGCCTCTGTTTCACCATTTTTAATCCAATTAAATTGCATTAGTCCTCTTCCTCTGCGGTACCTTCCGTGCTTTGTTTACTATAGAAAAGATTCAGAAGGAGGAGAAAATACTGCGGTAATGGTTACAGCTGACTATTTTGATGTACCCGCATGAGGTACCGATGTCTCTCTCTATTTCTCTCTGCGCACCTTTCTGTAAATCTTGTAAATAGAATTAAATTTTACTGTGGGCAGATTCGATGAGTTTTTAGGGAGACGGTGTTTTTATTGGAATTTTCCTTGGGAATCATTGTTGTCTTTTTTGCTCCTTTTTACACTGTTCTCTTATACGTTTTTTTCGTATACTTGGGTGGTTATTTGGGTCAATTCTCATGTTAATAACTATTTTGGGGAAAAAGCCAATAGTTTGTTTTTGTCCAATTTTAAAAATTGGGTTTTGTTGGAATATCAGGATTTTGATGATAATTGTCTAAATTTAGTATTTTTAGTCTATTCACTGAAAAAGCCAGAAATTATTTGCTGAATTCTCATCTGGGTTTCTCTAAAATCCCTGGATTTCGGTGGGATATAATCCTGACGGAGTTTCTCCTAAAAATCCTGAATTTCTCCTGGGTTAGCTGTAATTTGGGTGCCGCTCAAATTGATCATTCGTGATTGAACATGGTGAATAATAGCAATAACACCACCAATCAAGAAGACGGGGGTAAGAATCCATCAGGGATTTCTAGAGGTATTGGTGGTGGAGGGGGAGCTGCCAAATCATGGGGTACCACTGGATCTGGCCAATCTGTGTCAACTAGTGGCAGCGTGGGTTCCCCATCAAGCCGGAGTGAGACTGCTGCAGCAACTCCAGCCAGTGACAACACATTTCTCAGGCTTAACAATCTCGATATCCAAGGCGATGATGCTGGATCACAAGGGGCTACCGGGTGAGCTTAGGTCACTTCTGCATTTCTTTGCATTCATTTTTAGATATCCATTTATTGCTGTTTTGTCTGTGGCGTTGATGTGAAATTAATGCAATTAACGAGTAATTGTAAGAGGCTCATTCCTAATGGTAGAGTTATAGCAAGTCATAGGCCAATAATTATATGTGTGGTGACTCTAGCAAAAGAAAATATGTAATTACTAGTGGAATGAAAGATTAAAATAATAGATATATTTTATGGCTAAATGAATACTATTGTTTTAGTTGGAGCTCAATATTAAGACTTGAGGTTCCATCTTAAAAGGCCAACGTCCAAACCCTTATAAATTAGTTGTGTTTTCATCTTTATTCGACGTGAGATATTATTTTTTAACGCTCACTGGAGTTCATATAAATAGTTCTATATATATGAGATAAATAGTTGTGGAGAGTGTCTCCAAATATGTGGTTTAATAGATTGATGGTACTCCATGATTTTATTTTTGGTAATAAATCAATTGTGGAAAAAGAATGTTAATATGTTTTGGCTTTAATGGTTTAATAAGAGTAGTTAGACAAATAATTATTTGATTGTACCTGTAGGATGATTTAAATGAGGAGATTATTGTTTATATTTTGCACTTAAATATCGTGTATAAAATGGATGGTGTCATTAATGTTTCTATGACTCACGATAATAGGTTCTAGTTGTGGAGAGTGTCTCCAAATATGTGGTTTAATAGATTGATGGTACTCCATGATTTTATTTTTGGTAATAAATCAATTGTGGAAAAAGAATGTTAATATGTTTTGGCTTTAATGGTTTAATAAGAGTAGTTAGACAAATAATTATTTGATTGTACCTGTAGGATGATTTAAATGAGGAGATTATTGTTTATATTTTGCACTTAAATATCGTGTATAAAATGGATGGTGTCATTAATGTTTCTATGACTCACGATAATAGGTTCTCATGCAAATCCAGTGTCTTTATATTTCCTTTCATTTCCTTACACTCCTAATTGTGATTAATAGTAAGTTCTTAACAGAAACAAGAAGAAAAAGAGGGGTCAACGTGCTGCTGGAGGGGATAAGAGTGGTAGAGGGCTTCGTCAATTTAGCATGAAAGGTTTTGGTTTCTCATCTGTCCTTGTTTCTCTTGCTGAGAGGATGTGATATTGATAATTTCTTTTTAGTGCTTGAACGAGTTCTAGATAAGAGTTACATACTGATAAACTTTGCTGCTTTCCCTTGTGAATAGTGTGTGAGAAAGTGGAAAGCAAAGGAAGAACTACATACAATGAGGTCAGATGCTTATTGGATGTTTAATGTTATTTTGTATCATGCTTTTCTAAAACTAGCACTTCCGTTATATTTCTCTTAGCCTGCAATATGTTTGGGTGCTCCTGTTTTTGGAACGATGAGTTGGTCCTTCCTTTCTGTTCACCTGTCCCGATTAATTTGTGCTGTTTTGTGACCTTTCTCTGGTTAAGCAAAATAAAAAATGTGGTATTTTAAATTTGCTTGAAAAAGTACTGGATTCTTTTGGTGTAATAAGTCTATTCCAATTCCAATACTTGTAGAGTGCTTGCTAAAATTGTTTTCTCGAAGCCTGAGATTAATACCTAAATTGACATGATGATTTCTTACTGAGAAGAAACATGAATGTTTAGATTGAAGGACGGCATATGCTTGGTTCACCAAAATTGTCAATGTTCGCTTGTATTTAATAATCATGATGATGATGATGATGGAAGGTGGAACGTGGTTAATGTAATGATATTTGACCTATGTTCCATACGTAACGACCAAAATGAGCTATTCAAGTATTCAACTATGTGATGACATGTTATTATGGTCTATTTGATTGTCATGTAGTGTCTAAATCTAACAAATCAATGTCTCTGCAGGTAGCAGATGAACTTGTTACTGAATTTGCAGATCCTAACAATAATATTGCCTCTCCGGACCAGGTTCTTTGCATTTTTCATTTCCATAAGCTGTGTCTGGGTAGTTACAAAACTTTTTTGAATGTCTCATTTTGATTGTTAAACGTATGTGGCAGCAACAATATGATGAAAAAAACATACGGCGAAGGGTTTACGACGCTCTAAATGTTCTGATGGCAATGGATATAATATCTAAAGATAAGAAGGAAATACAATGGAAAGGTTTACCTCGGACTAGCTTAAATGACATCGAAGAACTAAAGGTTCATTTTCATGTTCTTACTTTTCCTTCCACCTCTCTTTTTACTTTATCTAATTTTTTGCCATAAGCAAACCCCGGTGTGCAAAATATTATTAATATTTATCCAGCAACATAATTTAAGTTGTATATAACTGACTGCAGAATGAGAGTCTTGGAATTAGAAATCGGATTGAGAAGAAAGCAGCATATTTGCAAGAACTGGAGGAACAAGTGAGAATCTTTGAGCATATGCTGTCAGCTTTTACAGAATTCGATACAAGTTAATTTTTTGATATGCATCATGAATGAGGATACTAAAAATTAGTAACGTATATAATGTCTTTTCTTCCCTATACTTGGCTGAAGTATGTAGGTCTTCAAAAACTTGTCCAACGTAATGAGCAACTATATGGCTTGGGAAATGCTCCTAGTGGTGGTGTGGCTTTACCTTTTATATTGGTGCAGGTTCGTTTGCTAACAATTTCATTGTGATTATTGTTACGTTCATCTTTCAAAGGACTTCCAAATAGGTGTTTAATATTTCTCCTCCTCTTTTCTACAAATGAGACTTTTGCATTCTTACATTTGTCGTCTCACATGGTGCTGGTGGGCCTGGAAGTCTGACATACAGTTGGATTTGGAAATTCATGATTAAGAAATTATTCTGTATACATCAGCGTTCTGAAATGGGGGTAAAAAGTAAAAGAAAGAAACATGAAATGTGAAAGCATATCAAATAAAGCTGATGCTCTCAACCACTTGCCATCAAGAAGATTTTTTAAATATTAAATTTACATGTGCTGTGTAATACTCTCTCCGTCCATCTGTTCGTGTTTGAATAATTCCATTCTTTGGTCAGTATGGATTCCAAATTTGCCATTCAACCGAAAGGAAAAAACCACAAAGAGAATACTCGCATCAAACCCAAGCCCTATAACCACCAACAAGAAAACCTCAGATTGAAGTTCAGTTAATCCATAATCAGCACACCATCAGACCCATCACCTCAGAAAACATTGCCAGAGTAAAAATCAAGAATATCGACATATACATGATTCCAAACCCTAGAAGCAGTTAAGATCTCTCTGGACAGATAACTCGCAAAACAATTTGATATTGAAAATTTCTATTTTCCCTTTGATGAGTTGATCACCTTTTTCTCCCTTATAGTTTCACATTCTGGGAAGTCTCTTAGGAACAGATCTGTTGGTCTAATGTTGGAGACAGTGGTAGTTTGAAGGTTTTGGATGTTGCTTCAGCGTTTGAACTTTGGAATTCACTGTCATGCTTCTGATTGATTTTCATTTTTGGAAACTGTAGACTCGTCCTCATGCAACAGTGGAGGTGGAAATATCAGAAGATATGCAGCTGGTGCATTTCGATTTTAATAGGTAAGGGAATCATTCAAGCAAATACCACTTTAAATTGTGCAATATCAGCATGAAAGCATCTTTTTTCTACTGCTGTTGGCCATCATAAGCATATGTGACATGATTGTGTTAGTAATTGAGTCATGTAGTGTACATAAAACTATTGTTTTATAAAGTATATACTTCATATTTTGCTCTGCGTAAAGAGGTTTAATTATAATAAATTTAAAAATAAACAACATTTTTATTGATAAAAATTGGGATCAAGTTACTTATTTTGACAGCAACTCAGCGAGGTAAGAGTTACTCTTAATACATGCAACTTTTTTTAAGCAAGAGAATAATAACTTATCCAAGCATGTTCATAAACACAAAGTTACTGTTGCTTTTTAAGCGCTTCCAACTTAAAAGAGATTCCACCTCTAATGTACATATATATCTGTTTTGATCATTGCAGCACCCCATTTGAGTTACACGATGACAATTATGTTCTCAAGGCAATGAAATTGTGTGACAACCCTCAAGGTGATGGCGTGACGCAAAATATCCCTCTACATGGCGGTGAAAGCTCCCACATGCCCAGCATGTACCAGCCTCAACCATCTCATCCATCAAGGTCGAACATTTCAGGTAGGCCTCCGAACTCGCCCCCTGTTCCCGGGATATTAAAGGCGCGCGTTAAGCACGAGCATTAGTTTGCCAGTTTCAGTAATGTTTCGTTATTATATCTGTATATCAAGTAAAAATATTATGTGGAAAGCAGATGAACGCTTGTAGGAATTCATCGCTATAGAATTTTGTGTGGTATAAGGAATGGAAGATAGCAGGATTTTGCTTATCGCTTCAGGATCTATGAACTATAAAGCATTATTTTAGATTGTAAATACCTGATTCCACATATCCACTCTGGATATTTTATTATTATTTTGTCAATTTTTTGGCTTCTGAGAAGATATTGAAATTTCACCTGCAAGTAGTTGGACTTTACGGGCAGGGCAGGGCAGGGCAGGCTATAGAATTTTGTGTGGTATAAGGAATGGAAGATAGCAGGATTTTGCTTATCGCTTCAGGATCTATGAACTATAAAGCATTATTTTAGATTGTAAATACCTGATTCCACATATCCACTCTGGATATTTTATTATTATTTTGTCAATTTTTTGGCTTCTGAGAAGATATTGAAATTTCACCTGCAAGTAGTTGGACTTTACGGGCAGGGCAGGGCAGGGCAGGCTCATTTTACTTACTACCTGCAAGCAGCAGCCATGTAGGATTTCATTGAGAATCTATGTTCTAAAAGCGCGTTTATTATGATATCTAGGCTTCAATTCTTGGACTTGCTATCAGCCATGCAATTTTTTATTTTTATTTTTTACTTCTAGACCCGTAAAAGCTTGACAGTTGACTTTGCATACAGATTGGCATACAAGTCAAAATTCAACCTAAAAGAGCACCTTCTAATGACAATGGTATTACAATTAGAATAAGGAGAGTCCATAACAAAAATCATTGTTAAAATGATAAGGATCATTTCATCCTTTACAACTCTTTTTTCTATGGGTGCTTTTGCAAGGAGGAATAAAAGCTAATGACCAAACAATTTACTGGAAAATGTCCAAAATCTAATCAATCGAACAATGTGCATCTTCTCTTCCAAGTTCCCGTAAAGAAATACAAAAACTAGAACTAAAAAGGAATCAAGATTGGCTTGAGATTGGGCTGGCCAGCGTAACAAAACTTCTGTATACTATTCGATCGTGGAATTAGGGTTGTGCTTTATGTACCATTTTGAAAAACCTTCTTCAAGAGCTTCTCGCATCCACGAGTGCTTGCAGAATTGAATAGCTTCAGGAATTTTCAGCCAACTTCTCTGTCGAAGGCTCTTTTCAGGCCAGGACTCGAGTTCCTCTTTCACGAGCAAAGCATACATGGCAGCTTTACACAAGCCTTCTGGACTAAACTCGTCCTTGAGCTTTTTGCTCCTGAAAGCATAGAATCCCAGGAAATGCTGAAACAGTACAGTCAGGAAAATCAATGAAGTCAGAAACCCAATGGCAGAAAAAATATTGATTTCTCTTCCTTTGGTGATCCTTCATAGTTACATGGTATAAATCATTAAATCTTGATCTGGTCACAGACATTGTGAACTATAACCAATAAAACAAGGTTAATAATATGAATTTTTCAAATCTTACCACCAAATCCCCTCGAACTCCAGCCTCTTCTATTGATTCCCGAGCTGCTGCCTGCTCAGCCGTTTCATCAGTTTCCCACCCACCCTGTGTTCACAAGCAATAAGATACTCTTGATATCTTTTATCAAGCACTTTCTTACTGCTTTAATATACTCTTATCACAGGCAACTAGAGTTATGCTTTGTGCATAAATATCTAGAAACCTCATATTCATTGAGTAACCAATTTTTTTGAAATTTCATCCCCCGGAGAAAGGAAATCTTTATCCACTTTCAACTTGCTACTTTAATTCTTGCGAGTTTCCATTTTCAACGCAAAATAACTCCTATAACTGCGCAAGCAATGCCGTTTTGCCTAATAATAATTAGACATACAGAATGGAATCCATTTCCAAAAATTGTCTTTATTATAATTCCTGAGCACGCAAAACAATGTAAATCAAGTGTCACTGGAAGCCTTCAATTTATAGATTAAAAGAAAAATCCAGTGCTCAAAAGGCTCTCGAGTCCTTCCAAAATTCTTAAAGAAGAATCCAGTGGGGGGGAGAGCTTCTCATGATATCAGGATCACCATTTTGGGTAATCTTCAAAATAGAAACCCTTTTTTATTGGATGATCTAATACTTCCCGAAACAAATAATCCTCCTTGTCAAAGTGAAAATATATGGATGATTAAAACAAAGAAAAAACGACATGAGAAACAATTGGAAAGAAGTAATCCCTCTCCGCTTTAACCATTTGCTTGATTATTCATCTATATAGAACATGGCACCCAACTTATGGAGATGAAAATATCGTCAATCCTTTTAGAAGAAACTGAATAAGCATCAAAACAAATGTGGGATACATGGCACAACTACCACTTCCGTAGTTGAACAGGGTCAATCTAGCAAGCATGAACCGACTGAAATTCTACTCTCCCACAAGGTCAAAACTAGCACATGATCTAAAATCGCCAGAGCGTTAATCTGCCTGTTCTTCAAGCTTTGTTCTGCTGTAGGTTTATATTTATACGTTTGTAATCCAAGTCTGATTCTTCATTAATTTACTTGAAGATAGAACAAACCGCTACAAAAACAAAGTAATACAATGATTAAGAGGCAAAAGAGAGGAGTGGGAGTTGATTCATGCCAATTGCCAAGGCATATATGTTGTGCATGTGGCTCGTATAAAGTGAAACACAATTTCCCTGGATCAAATAGGCCGATGCCAGAGCAAAGCCGATATACTCTCTGCTTCGCTCTTGTAGACGTACGTACGCTGTCGAACCACGTAAATTTCTATGTTGATTTCTCTATTTCATCTCTTTATTATTGCGTATAAAATCCAACAATACATTAAAAAGCTAAAAATTTTAAGCTTCTTCGTGGCCCTCCCTCTGCATTTTTTTTCATCCACAAGCATAACAGAACCCTAATAAACCCAAGAGAAAATCTTTGCCCCGAGTGTCTGGCCCAAACACTCACTCAGACAACTTCGATAGAACGTTACCACTCTCTCCACCCTTTTTCATTCTTTTGAAGCTTCTTGTTTTAGCCTTGCACACTTTTTCTATAACAATAGAACAGAACCCTCATAAACCAGAGAAAATATGAATTAAAGAGAAAGACTATCCCATTCCATTTGTTTATATAAATCTTACCAGAACCAAACAAGATATTGTAAAAAGGGGAAAAAAAAAATCTTCATAACCCAATTTCGAAAAAGGTCAGAAAGAAAAAGAAAAACCAGAACCAAACAAGATATAGAAAAAACAACCCAAGTTTTGATTTTGCACCATTTTGCTATTAATTATTCCCAATTCCACATAAGACCAATTGAAAAAACTCCAATAAGATAAATTCCTTACCAAACTCATGTTTTTACTCATTCTTCCAGGAATTAAACAAAACACAACTAAGAATTTCATGCCCAATTCACAACTTTTCATAGTCTAACAAAACTCAATTGCAACAACCTACAAAACCAATCTAATCATAACAAAAAGAAAACCCTACAAAACTGAATCCAATTTCCGCACATTATGGAAGGGATAAATCTGAACACAGCTATATATACATTCTGCATGTATATCGAGAGAGAAAGGGTGAAAAACATACCCAGCGATGAGGCGAAAGCCACCTTCATAACGCTGCTGAAGACGACCAGTCCGAGCCACAAATCCAGACATTTATGTACAAATTATTACAAATATCCCTCTAAAATGAATATGAGTCTTTAGGTTTCTCCCTCTATATATGCCGATACGTGGGAATTTATCACGACCTACTTTTTTATTAACAATAAAAAAGTTAACTCCCAATATCCCTTTTGCTGGTACTACTAACACTGCATTGTTCAACTTCTTGTCGTTCTCCAAACAGAGCCCTAATCATTTCTCGAAAATTTTGGAGCCCCATTCGGACAAGGGAGTTTACAGTCAATTTTGGTGACTCACAATTCAAAGGTAGATCGGTAAACAAAATACAACGCAACTATTAACTTTTCTTCTATTTCTTTATTGGGCAAGTTTCGCGGCGCGAGAGGCGGGGAGATTAAATCTAAATTTTTTGAAAAGTGACCTTCGAGTTAATTGCCGGTCTTGGATTCTTTTGATCACTATGTTTATCAAAATGTTGACATTACTCACTATTTTAACGGAATCAGTAACGTGGCTAATGAAATATACATGCGCAATGCCTTGCCAAGCCATCAACAAATTGTTACGTTCTTGATTGCTCACAAAACTTTTAAAAAAAAATCTTTAATTGCTCATTGAACTTTGAAAAACATGTTTGATTGTTCACTGAACTTTGAGGACTAATTTATAAAAATCACGTTGACTTATTGTTCATTAAAAGATATGTAGCACAATCGCATAGGTTGTGTAAAAATAATAAAGTGGACAAACGAATTCTAATTGTCGAATTCATGAGAAATGATTACTTAATTACACAGTGGCTAAATTTAATTTTAATATATTTTGTAGAATTTTAAACTATTTTCATCATTTGGAAAAATTCAGATTTATTGTGTGTTTTATTATTAAAACTAAATTAATATTTGAATTTTGCAACAAAACATACAATAAATTTAATTAAAGTTTGAATTTTCGTAACAAAACATAATTTATTTTTTGAAGGGACCAAAAGGGAGTGAAATTCATTTAATTAAATTTATTGTGGGTTTGAAATCTAAATATTTAATATAGCACACGGATAACCCTAAATCCGCTCACAAGCCAAATGTCAAAGAACCTCATATTTAGCAGGGATATACATGAAAATGGCCCAAATAATATATAACCTTTTCCAAATTGGCCTTTGACTTTTTTAGAAATTTGAAACTACCCAAAATATCCTTGAAAAAATTTATCAACCAACCCTTTATATAATAAAAAGTTTCTTTTTTAGTCCTTAAAAAATCTAACAAATAATTTTTCTAAAAATTTGTAAAAATTATTAATGAATAATTATAAAATGGAAAAGCCCAAATATAAGAGAGGACCATATAATATAAAAAAGGTTGTTAAAAATAAAAAAGAAATTAAATTTGAAAAAGAAATTGATAAGATAGGATATCAAGAACAATTATATGCATCACAAGAAATATTAAAATGTTTTAAAGAAAACTTATTAGAAAATTTCGCTAAAGGAATTGTAAGGTCAATAATCATAAAAGATATACAAGATATAATAGATAAATTGGCAAAAAGAATGAAAAGTATCTCAAAATATGAAATACCTTTTGGAACAGACATAGATATGATAACAGATATTGATATTATAAATTCTCAAACATTATTAGA